TCTTAATCATGTAGATGATGAAATAGAAAAGTAAAACAAAGGTTTTTCAATGGTTTCTCTTCAAGAACAAAGATGATCTGCCTGGTAGGCTACAAAGAGTCCTTCAAATTAGGTTTTTCCAACTCAAAACATAAAAAACGAAATTGCAAAAAGGTCCTCAAAACAAGTATTTTTCGTCCAAACACAAGCGCACAGCGGGGTCACAACCCCGCTGCCACAACCCCGCTGTGGGGTGTCGTCTTAGCCGAGCGGCCCCCCTGACTCCGCCCCGGGGGTCCGCTGTGGTCTGGGCCGACCCCCTGACCCCGCTGCCATGACCCCGCTCCAGGATGCTCGCCTCTAGTAAATTGGTCATAACTCCTTCATTATATCTTCAAACGACTTGAAACCACTTCCATTAGAAATCTAACACTACAAGAAATACTGCTTTTAGCCACGGATTTTTTCGTGGCTATCAGCCTGATTTCGTAGCTATTTGGCCCTTATCTACGAATAGCTACAAAGGCAACTCCGTAGCTACAAGCTTGTGGCTATCGCCCCGACGTTGCTGTTTGCGGCTAACCATCCACGGCTTCGCCACAAACGTGTTTTGTGGCCAATATCCACAAATAGCGCCTAACCATTTTCGTAGACAAGATTAACCACAAAAAGACGCAATCTATGTTGTTGCAAATTTTCCACAAATAGCCACAAATAATTTGAGGATAGTTAGGCACAAATAGCTACAACTGATTTGTAGCAATATTCAGCTACAACAAACAACGCTTACACTCGTTGCAAATTTTCTACAAATAGCTGCAAAATTGTTTGTGGGCGTTTTACCCCAAAAAGCCACAAAATACTTTTTGTAGATAATAAAGCTACAATGTATTATGTGGAAATTCATTGCTGTAATTTACAAAAAGCAACAAATTAATTTGTGTTTTTCTGTGGCTTTATAAGATTTTTTTAAAGTTTTTAATAATAATTTGTATTCTATTAAATAATTTAAATCAATAAATAAAACTTAAATTAAAACATAATAATTAACTAAAGCATTCAAATTAACATTTAGATTAGTTACAAAAGACACCTATTGATGTTCTTCAAAAGTTACAAAAGACATCTAGTGATGTTTTTCTACAAAAGACATCTAATGATGTTAGGTCTAATATAACACAAACTTAAAAGACACAACATAAGGAGGAGTTACTGAGTGGGAGATGGAGAGTTTTGGTTAAGTTCTTGGCTTGATTGAGGACTTGGGACAGAAGCATTACTTTCACGTTGAAGAGGTTCACCTGTAATAGGATCTACTCCATTCATCTTCATCAGCAACTCAATACCACGTTTAACAGCAGAAAAGCCATCCTTCAAGACTGTTACATCTTCTTTAACCCCTGTTACAATACCCTCCACGGTGGTCAAGCGTGCATCAAATCCCACATGTGTAAAAAGAGAAGCTGGTGCAGTCTCTGTGTCTTCATTTTCAATATCCTGAATTGAACCAAGACCGTAGACTCTTCCTTTGCCATTGGTTGCTACCTATAAGAAAAATATATTGATTAATAGACTCATGGGTATAAAAAGAAAATAAAAGAATAGTTTCAAATTATCTTCATTGTTCAAAACTAAATTCATATGCTATTAAGACTGATTATGTGAGTTAGAATAGGAGATTCTTACTTCAACATAAGCAGCATTGAGCTGCTGAGTAGAGGGTTCAGATGGGATTTCGTTGGTCAGACAGGCACCTTGTGCTCGCTCCAAAGCAAGTGCCTCAGCAGCCTTCACAAATTCTGCTGCTCGTTTGTCAATGCAAGTGCCATCTCTGCTAGTATGAGTCCTTAGCACAACCTCAGTGAGTGGTGGTGCTACTCCACCAGCCTTCACCGTCTGCAAATGGTGATAAGAACTTAGTTGTTGACAAGTATTCAAGAAAATAAAGCTGATGGAAACCACTGAAAACTGACTAACCAAGTCATAAGCATAACGTTTATGATTTGTTCTTCCTGAAGTATGACGGTGAGTACCCTGACCATCTGGATTTGATGCAGCATTCTCTGAATTTGTTTTGCTCCTCTTTTGATGTGGCTCCTCCTCCCAAGTCTCAAGCATTATGGTCCAGTCTGCTAGGCCAATGAAATCTGGTTTCTTTTTTTCTGTTGATCTTCTCCTCTTGCTTATGAGGTCTCTGATTGAGCTTTTCAGAATATTTTCCCACTGAAGATGAACCTGACTGTGATGCTTAGGATCCCAATAGTACTTTTGCTACATCAAAACAAAATTAAAAAATAAGGTGGCAGGTAATATAGCTGTATGTATCAATCAATAAACTGACCAAATATAACCTACCACAAAACAAGTCCACCACGCAGCCTTCTTCTCAGCTGGCACCATTCCGTAATTCCACCAAGGACCCCAAAAGTTAGATTGATATGTAGACACTACATCTTTCCGGATGCAATCATCAATACCAAACCTGTGAAAAAAATAAACAAAACGCTTTTGTTAGAAGAAAATTAATCAAACGTAAATTCAGAGCACAACAATACCATTATACTTAGACATTCTATGTACCTAACAACTAACCAAATAATTTTTTTGTATACAAATTTAAATAGGAAACAAGTTTCCTGCTTGAGCTCAGAACACAAAACAGAGAATCTAATAAATAAGATAAATTCTGGAAAACTTAAAAAAAATAACAAAAGATTTAGTCACTATAAAATCAATTGACATTCAAATAGAGAACTAACCATAAACCTCCATTGAGTCTTTGTGGGTGGAGAAGGGGCATGTTACGTCTCTCCGGTGCACTCATCACTGCCGCTAAGCTTGGAAGTGGATGTCGAGAAGCGGCTGAAGTAGCTGGCCTCGTCGCTCCAGGAGGAAGACGAGTTTGACGGCTTCTGTTAGCTGTCCCTGATGACGAAGCGCCTAGGATAGTCATCTGCAAAGGGACAAGAGAGATAACTATATACAGACTACGATGATAACTAAACAGGAAACAAACAAAACTTTATGAATATACTTGAAACCTCACACCTGTGACAAGACCCAAATCCCTTAAAGCAGCCGTACAAACCCTTGAAACCAAATCGACCCAACCCCCCGATGATACAAATCTACTATGAACAACACCATAAACCCTTGATAAACATAAACATATGTAATACAAATCTCCCCAAACCCTTGAACGAAACAATGCATGCAACAATGGAAACCCAGAAAAAAATCGACCATATATACCCTCGGATTTCTATATAGAATCTTAAAGGAGAAAAATGAGAGAACTCTGACCTTGAACAGAGGATTGTATAGAAGAGAGAATGATAATTAAGATTTGTGTGAGAGGAAGAGAGATTGTGAGAAGAGTAGAAAAGGAGGTCTGTTATTTGTACCGAGGTAGATGACACAATTAGGTTAACTTTTTTTATAATTAAAAAATCAAGTGGCTGTAATTAGTTTAGCCGGGAAACACTTAGCCGGGAAAATAACCCGGGAGTTAAAAATTTTGTGGTGCTTTCTAATTTTTATATAGCTCCGAAGCAATTTGTTGCTATCCATGGTTATATGATTAAACATATATAAAAATTATACAATTAACATCCAATTTAGAATTCTTTTAGCCGGGAATGGAAATTTTGTGATTGATTTCTAATTCAGATAGCTACAAAACTATTTGTTGAGTTCTAACTAAAATATATATATTAAAAATCATATAATTAAACATGTTATTTATAGTTAAAGAAAATTTTGATATGTTGAGTAGATTCTAATTAAATAAAAAATTTGATATGTTGAGTAGAAAATTTGATATTTTATTATTCAAGGACAAAACTAAAACATTAATTATTAGAACATGATTATTAAACATGTTATTTATTTAAATTATTTTTACATACAAGATTATTCGTCTGAATGTGAATCTGAATCAGAATATTCTCCATACTGATCGGCAAGATTATCTTCAGAAAGATATTCATCATCAGGATTAACTATTGGTGTCGGCTCATAAATTGAAGCATCGTTGATTGCATGTGTATCGACTCGCACAATACCAGTAGTTGGAATCAAATGGTCCACAACGTCATTTTGAATTGCATTTTGAGAAACTTCTTTAGCTTCATAAAATCCTCTTGGCATTACCTTCATTGTAGCCCACCATTCTTCTCGGATTGATCGTAGACGAGGATAAGGAACATAACATACTTGATCACATTGTTCTGGTAAGATAAAAGGATCGTACTTGCTGTAATGCATCTGCGGGCAAACATCAACAAGGCCAGATGGATGTCTTCGTATTCCTTGATCGGTGTTGAACCACTGACACTTAAAAAGTATGGCTTTTAGCCCAACTCCACCTTCATACTCTATCATGAATATCTCTTCGATCAGTCCATAATACTCGGTCTCAGTAGTCCCATGAACACAAACCCCATAATTCATCGTCTTCTTGTTTTGTCCATGGCTTTGTGTGTGGTAATGATAACCTCTCGAATAATACATAGGCCATGATCTGATTTGATGTTTTGGACCTTGTACAAATTCCAACATCCACAATGGAAACACATATGACTCGCTAGCCTTGTTAATCTGTATATATATATATATATACATTTAGTTTAATAAATGAAATAAATCATGTATATAATGTGAATATTAAAATTAGCACTTACATAGTTTTTACACCATATTGCAAATCGTTCATCTTTTACTCTCGTCATTTCATCTGAAGTAATGTTTGGAAAGTCACGCTTTATGAAATCTTCAAACATCCTGCATATATATATACACATAGTATTGGTTTGTTTAGATATTAATTATATATACACAATAATCTACATAGTTATTAATAAATAATGTAGCTTACCTTTCGTACGGTTCAAATGCTTCACAATTGAGCAATAAAAATGTCTGAAGAACATTAAAATCTTCATCATTTAACCATGCATTTCTGGTCCTGCCTTTAACTCTTCCTACTTGGTGGAACATTAACGGCACATCAGGATATTTATAGGTGAATCTAATCTCATTGGCGTCTTTTGTAGGGTCTTGAATTTTAGAAGGTTCAATATAATTAGCTGTCATGTAAGAAATTTCTTCATTCACACACTGAGCCACTATGGATCCTCCAATCCGAGCTTTGTTTTTTACTTTTTTTTCCAGATGATACATGTATCGTTCAAACGGATACATCCATCTATATTGGACCGGACCGCCTAATGCAGCTTCATCTATATTGGACCGGACCGCCTAATGCAGCTTCATCTGGCAGATGCACAGGGAGATGTTCCATCACATCAAAGAACGCCGGAGGAAATATTTTTTCAAGATTGCAAAGTATGATCGCAATATTTTCCTTGAGTGTGGCAACATCTTCAGTCTTCAATATTTTGGTAGAAATATCTCGAAAGAAGAGTGCAATATCTACTTAAATGGAAAAAGTAAGAACATTACATAAAATATCAGGTAATATTGTCATATCTTGTCGGAAAAATAAGAAAAATTATTAAAATTTAAAATATTACCTGAAATTGCCGTATGAACAGGTTTTGGAAGCAGTTCTTTAAATGCAATTGGGAGAAGTCGTTGCATGATGACATGACAGTCGTGACTTTTTAAACCTGATATTTTTCCGCTGTCCACATTAACACAATGTGAGAACTTTGAAACATACCCATCTGGAAATTTAATATCGGATTTCAACCATGCTAGAAACTTTTCTTTGCCTTCTTTCGACAATCTGAAGATTGGGATAGGCACTCTTCCATCTTGCGAAATCTCTAGCTCAGGTCTTTTGCAAAACAAAGGGAGATCCATCCTTGATTTTATGCTATCTTTTGTCTTCCCAGGAACATTTAACACAGTGTTAATTAGATTATCAAAGAAATTTTTCTCGATATGCATAAAATCAAGATTGTGTCGAAGAAGCAGATTCTCCCAATACGGTAACTCCCAAAAGATACTCTTCTTCACCCAATTATGGTCAACACCATATCCTTCAGCTCTCCGAGTAGGATTGTCATGTCCTTTACCTCCACAATCAACTGTTTTGGACAATCCACGTATATTATTAATCCTCTCACGTAAGATTTCCTCTCCGTTTAACCATGGTGGAGGATCATCATGGACAGTTTTTCCTTTTGTGAAAGCTTTAACATTCCGTCTATAGGAATGTCCTCTAGGTAGAAAATTTTTGTGACAATCAAACCAACTGTGTTTTCTTCCATTTGGCAACCAAAACGACTGGGTGTCATCCATACAATACGGACAAGCCAACCTGCCATGTGTCATCCATCCAGATAGCATTCCGTTTGCCGGAAAATCGCTAATCGTCCACATCAAGGCTGCTCGCATCGTGAATTTTTCTTTTCGTGAGACATCGTAAGCTTCCACCCCATCACTCCATAAGTTCTGTAACTCTTCAATCAACGGTTGAAGATATATATCCAAACTTTTTTTGGGGTGTTTTGGGCCTGGTACTAATATAGAGAGGAAAAAATATTCCTTTTTCATGCACATCCAGGGGGGTAAATTGTATGGTGTCACGATGACAGGCCATACAGTAGGGGTGGGACGGATCCGGATATCCGGGAATTTTGGAGTATCCGGATCCGGATCCGGATTCGGCGGATCCGTAATTTTAGTATCCGGATTCGGATTCGGGCAGTCCGGGTATCCGGATCTCGGATATCCGCCCAGAAATTGTAATATCCGCGGATATCCGGATTCAGATTCGGATCCGTAAAATAATTAAAAATAANTTATAATTTTAAAACACGGATCCGGATCCGGATATCCGGACCTAAAAATTAAGATATCCGGATTCGGATCCGGTTTGGACGGATCCGAGATTTTACTATCCGGATTCGGATCCGGGCACCCCGGATATCCTATTTTCGGAGCGGATCCGGAGCGGATCTCGGATCGGATCCGAATCCCGGATAATAAGTCCCAGCCCTACCATACAGAGTATGATTGTCCATTCATACCAATTGGATTAAATCCATCAGTTGCTAAACCTAGATAGACATTGCGACTCTCAGAAGCAAAATTTGGATATACCTCGTTAAAATGCTTCCATGCTTTTCCATCTGATGGATGATGCATTTCTCCTTCAGGGGACAAATGTTCAGCATGCCACCTCATTTGTGAAGCTGTCGTCTCTGATTGGTACAAGCGCTTCAACCGATCCGCGATTGGGAGATAAAACATCCTTTGCTTTGGTATCTTCTTCCCCGATCGGCCAATATTTGGTTCATATCGGTCTTTTCCACAAAACCGACACCGTAATAATTCACGGTCTTCCTCTTTCCAAAATAGCATGCAATTGTCCTCGCACACATCGATCTTATGACATGGCAACCCTAGAGACCGAGTCAACTTCTTTGTCTCGTAGTACGATTTAGGTGCACTATTAGGTGAGGGAAGAACATTTTTAAAGGTTTCAGAAATTTCATCCAGACATTCCTCCGAGAGATTGAAATTGGTCTTCCAGTTCATCACTTTTGAGGCCAGGTACAACTGAGAAATTCCATCAGTACACCCTTCGTATAGAGGTTGATTTGCCGCTTCCAACGCTTGGAAAACCGCATCATTGTTTTCTTGGAAAGTGGTATCGTCGGGTAAAATGTTAGAATCTGCATTCGGATCACGGTATTGATCCATGGGAACATTGCAAGAATAATCACCAGGTGGTTCGTGCTCCATTTCGTGATGACTTCCTGATGCTTCACCTTCATCGTATTGACAATTTTCTCCATGATGTGTCCACACATAATAATTTTCAGTAAATCCCTTCAACATGAGATGGTTCGTCACTGTATCAACATCACGAAACTTTTGATTGTTGCATTTTTTGCACGGACATAACAACTTTCTACGCTCTTGAAAAGAAGGTTGAGTACAAGCAAAAGAAATGAAAATGTTTATACCCTCAATAAATTT